CCCCCCCGCACCCACACCGTCGACAAAGGTCTGCCCCGACAGTACAATCATAGGTACAGTACAATCATAGAAGTCGTGTGCCCCTTTGCAGGGGGGGAGGGTGAAAGTTACTTCGCGCATGGAAAGTTTAACGTTTCTGAATACAGAAAGGTGTAGAATAGTACTTAACATCATACATATATTGCAGAAATAATTCAGAAGTATTCATAATTATATATTTCATTATTATTGAATAATTATTTATTGATAACGATATGGTGAATAAAAACGAGCCATTATATAAAAAAATACATCAATAGTTCGCTTGGAAGTCACGCTGTATAATAGAAATAAAACGTAATTTTTCAAACTTTTTTTGATCATAACTTTTTAACGAAGGACGAGCGACGGCTAAAACTTGTTGGAGGTAACTCAGGGTCATGACCTTGACAACATATGTCAAGGTCAAGGTCATTGGAGGTGGCTCCCCTAAAGTGAACAATTACCTAATTTATTTATAAAAAAATTAATATAAGATGCTTTTAAAAATTTTTTTTTATATTTGTCTTTAATTTCTTCCTTGCTTTTTATCAAAAACTAATTGCAACTGCAGTTGAAATCTCACCTTTATCACACTTGCTGTGTCTGTCCTAAAATTAAAATCACCAAATAAAAAATACGGCACATTCGGATATTTGTCATTATGAAATTTATCTAATGTGTGCTCAAGCGCTCTTCTGCGCGTTTTACTATATACTGATGGAAACTGTAAAGAAATTGTTAAATTAAACAAATAAATCGACACTCATACAAACACATACTATAATGTATTATATTATATATCGAATAATAATCGCAAAAATTTCTTACCGTCTCCATAGCAATAAAATTGCTTGCGTCATGAAATAAGTGTATGTTTATGAGATCAAAAACTGTTCCACTAATACTCCATCGAGTACGTAGAAAACCCTTTCTGGACCATTTGCATTCTGGAAAAAATTCTTGAGGAAACTTAGCTTTCTCTTTGGTACTAACTGCTTCTATGTTGCCCGAGTGGACATCTTTCCCATTTACAGGTATAAAAGATAATTCTAAAATTACATAATAGAAAAATATAGATATGATTTATGGAAGCTATTTAAAATAAAATTATAAGGAACGTACCATTAAAATCCCATAATAAAACATCGTTTAAGGATTCGTGCACGAAGTAGAAATTTCCTAGAGCCTACAAAACGATCTTGATAAAAATATTGTTTTATTTAAAGTAATCGAGTAATTAATAGAAATTATATTCCACCAACTCACTGTGAAATGTTCAGCGGATGAATAATCCTCGTCAAGAAATACCCTAATTTTGTCAAACAACCTTAATTCTTCCGACGACATAAGTAATCTGTAAATAACATGTTTCATTATGCATTAAATTGTGCAGTAGAAAAATATGATATAAGCTTCAGAAAATCTCTTATATAAATACATTTTTCAAACGTTTTTTTTTATATGTAATATATACATTTCTCCCCTGTCAATATCATACAATCAACTTATCTTTTGAAGTGACTCACTCAACTATAGAGTCACGCGTGATGCATCTATTTTTAACCCTTTCTGCCAGTTATGCGTTAAATCATACTCAATATATGTGAAAAGAGACAGCTATTTGTTTTGATATATTTATATAAAAGGTTTAAATACATAATATCGATACAATAATAAGATACAATAATAAAGATCAAAAGTTAAACGACCGTTGTATGTTGATACGATTGAGATATTTTATAAAAACAACATTAGACAAGTGTGTATAGGCTATTTTAATCAGGAGACGCGGTAGTGTCTCTGGCCATGTTCAAAAACTGAAAGGCACTACAAGTTTCTTATCCCGAGCCATCAAAGTCCATTTTTTGGGGGTGCATAACTACTAAAATATAAAAAATTTTGAATCGAACGTTATATATCCTGAAAGGCCACAAGTAATTTGAGCAAAAAAAATTTTAAATCGGTTAAGCCGTTCTGGAGATACAAGCGGTCGAAAAGTGGTGACTTTAATGAAAAATTAAGAAACGTCTCCTCCTCCTCCTCCTCCTCCTCCTTCTTCTTCTTCTTCTCTGTCTGCATTCAAATATTTTTAAATCATTTTTTTATATATTTGTAATATATTTGTACTCTAAAAAGTAAGTGATATCCGAAAAAATCATATCTTAAAAATGAGAAGTTTAAGCCATGTTCAAAAAAGGATACTCAAAAATTTACACTTTTTTATTTGATTATAGCCAAATATTATAGCTTTTGGAAACCTTTCAAGAAACTTCAATAATAAGATTATAAACATGATACTTTCGAAATCTACTTCAATAATAAGATTATAAACATGATACTTTCGAAAACGTTCATTCTTTCTGTCTGTATGCGTGTAGTTTCCCATGCCGCGTATGAAAATTCATTATTTGCTTTATTAGAACCTATTATTATATTAGAAGTGACAATAATGATAGATACATCTCGGATACATCTATTTATTTCTATAAATATATATCACGTAGAGGAACAGTTGGAACGAGTTGAACCCAGATGAAAAATATGACATTTACCTAACAAAGTCCTCCACGTGCCTCATACTCTGCTCGTAATTCTTTCCACCTACTTCTTGGCAGTGCAGCGCTATAAATTTCGGATCCAGCCTCGATATGGTCTGAAAAAGCAATCCGTTTAAAAAAAAAAAAAACAAATTGCGCGAACGCCGGCGTCGCCAAGTGAGTCATGTATCGTATAGAGATGTGATACTTACGGATAAAAACTCTTCCGTCCATATTTTCAGCATGACACTAGGCTGCAAGAAAAGATCGCTTGTATTAATCTACGAATCCTTCATACTTCATGCACTTTAAAGAAAAGCTTAATGAGATGTTCGAGGGCATGCGAATATATTAATAGATTGTTAACGTCACGCGCAAGGTTTTATCGGCGCGAACCACCAACCTCCCCTACGCCACCCTCTCCTGATGCGACGACAAAAAAGTATGCGACGGAAGTTCTTTTCTCTGCGTTTCGCAATAACGACGGATCGATCGTGGCAATGAAGAATTTTCACGCGCGCGCGAATCTGACTGATCGGCATTGAGGGACTTGTTCTGATTGAAGATCAGAATCTAATCACGAAATAACCAACGTTTATTGACTAGTCATTTTCGTTAATTCAGTAAATTAGAATGAGTAAGATAATATAAGTAAGAATAAGGCAATATATTAGATTGAAAGAAAAGTAATGTCGTGTGTGTATATTTAGCTCAAAATTATACATGGAATGTTATTCGTTAAAAATGAACAAAATTTAAATTTTAAACAAAGAGTTTTAAAGCTTATAATTAAGAACTTTCAAAGGGTTACTATGTTTTTTACTGAATTTTTGCGAGTTCGGTAATTTTTTCTAAAATTATAAGCCGAATAATTATAAAATAGGACAAAATTACAAAATGGGAAATTTTCTTCTCACTTTATGGGTTTGTCAGATGCTCCAAAAAAATTTGGAAAAATACTTTATGTTAAATTTGGTTTTTTTCATAAATTTGTTTCAAAAAATGTTTCTAAGATGTGTTATTGAATTATTGCAAGTTAAATAAAAGGAGTATTTTGACTTTTGTTGCTCACAATTTCGTTAAAAATGATCGTATTGCAATCTGAAAAACATTCTTAAAGTTGAAATTTTGATATAATAGTATAATATTGAAAATCAACAAAATATGACGAACAGGCAAATAGAGAAAATGTTTTGATTGCATCCAACGATGCAGCTGACAAGCGAAATGAAATAGTGGACTTTTTGTATCTCGGTAGATAAATATAATAAATTACGTTTATTAGAAACCGACGACAAACTCGTAAATTGTGACAGTTTAAATTGTAATTTTTTAAATGTAACTATAAATAAAAATGTTTATGTAAGTTTGACTCTTTTTTTATTTTTAATTAAGTATATTTATTTCAAAAAATAATAATTGACATTTCTGTGAGATTCTCTCTGTATTACATATAAAATATATTATCATATTTCAACTTTAGTGGCGTCGAGTGACTCACCGCTCCGTGCGATTGACTCGCGATCTATAGACCCGAGTTCAATCCCACGTGCGCCCAAACGCGATTTTTCGCGTTTAATGAGCCAAAAAATGGCTCCACCTGGTAATCAAAAGATCTATGATCATCAGCGCCGTTCGGATTCGGCGTTAAACTGTAGGTCCTATACATCAGTATACATATCAGTAGATATTTGTCTCTAATATCTGACTGAGGTAGGATTCTGTGGATCAATCACCCATAAATCCGAAAAACAATCTGATTCGAGAAACGAATATAGGCCTCGGACAAAAGAGGAAGAGGCCTATAGACGTCCTATGTAAGGAGATAAAAGGAGTCATTATCATTAGTATAATATTATACTATATAATTTTGTCAAAAACACGATATTACTTTCCTTCCAACTCAATATATATGTACATATAGAGAGAGAGATAGTATACAAGATGTCTCAACATTAGCGACTCAAAATACTATAGGAAGAAAATTCTCAAAACATTAAATATATGTACATATATAAAAGTTTTGCATAAATTTTTATTTTAAGCAGAATACTTTTTGAAATAATAAGGATTTAAAAATGGCCAATTATAAACTCTACGTTTAGGTGACACCTATCCATAAGTTACAGTATTAATGAGCGCAGATGAGTGCGTATTTCAGCAAGTTCACTAATGGTTCACTCATAGGTGACTAAACATAGTCTAATTGGCCATATTTAAACCCTTATACAAAAAAAAAACAAAGTATAGGCAAATGAGTCACGTACAGTTAATGAGGTGCAGTGAATAATAAATGTTAAGAAATTACGTTTATTTAGACATTTGACTTTCTCTCTGAGCCATCTTCAATGAGTGTTGTCTACAACAATATGTACAATTAATTTAATTGAATTATATTAAAGACAATTTCTCACAAAAAAGATCCAGTGTAGTGATATATGCTCATTATTTATCTTACGTACAATTAATTTTTAATGCATGACTTTCATTTGCTTCGTTTTCTAATTCATTTTAAATTATCGAGATAAATAATTTGTATCATTAGAACTCTTCGGAAGGTATTAGGATACATTCAGTACTTCACAAAAATTATCACAGAACTCTCAGAACTGTCGAGAATTGGAGAGGTCTCATTTTTATTGAAAATTAAATTTTTTAAATATTAAAAATTAAAAATAACATTGTTTACCGCCAGAACTTTTTTAAATTTATGTAGAACTGTGTTTTTCAAAATCCTACAAGAATCTGTGGTCAAAAGTTGTCTAGGACAAAGTGAGACGCTGCTGCGTGAACCTGGCGTCTCAATTTGTACTTTCGCTTTTTTTCCACTTTAGAGGGCAGAACTATTAGTTTTATCTATCAGAAACTATAGAACTATTGAAAATACATTCAGAACTCTTAATATTTCATGAGCTTCCATCAAATGATACGCCACCTTCACAAACACATTAAATTTGACTCAAATTTAGTTTATTATTTATTAAGTGCATACATTAATACATGAATATATTGTTTACTTTGAAATTAACTACAGAAATAAATTGATTTACACTAATATGTATGTAAGATAAAAATAACAAAATATTATTTAACTATAAGGATTAGAGTGCCATTGCTTCTTTTATATCTAGCGAATTCAATTGAGTACACTAGAGTACATTCAGTGCGCATTGATGCACATTAAAACCGTCGTACATAAATTGAAATAAGGATGTGTGTATAATATAAGAAAAGAAGCAGGTCAAATCACGAAATACCTTTTAATGTGCTGTTTGATAAAAGTAATTTAATAATTCAAAATGTTAACATGTAATTTTTATACTCGGATTAAATCAGCGTATAACAACTTTAATATGCATGAGTGCGCACTACTGCATCTAACAAATGCTATAATTATTATAACAATGCAATACGAGAAAATTGATGCTTCGATGGAAATATCAATAAACGTCGGTGCATGCACTCGAGAATCGCGATATCGGGTATGCGTGTTTTCAACTGTTCTGTCCACGTGATCGTCAAGAGATTGAATGTTTTCCATTTAGTGATACAAGTCGACACAAACATCATTCTAGCATAGCAGGGCTCAGCACGCTTTACAACTTTCGAGCCCTGTTCTATAGGGTTGCGCACAATCAAAGTTTCTCTGCATTTAGCAGAGAAAACTAACCAGTTAGCGCTTAATAATTCTTTAATATAATTGGTTCCTATAACACTTAAATCTAATAAAAAACTAAAAACAAGAATCAATCACATTACAGAATCACTAAGTGCTAACTGATTAGTTTTCTCTGCTGAACGCTACCAAAGGATTAGAGAATAGGGGGGAAGGGGCAAAGCAGAGAATAAAAATTTTAACCTGATCATAGAAATTGTGTGTACTCGACAATACATAATTTCTAATAGGCTAAAATTCTTATTCTTTGTTCCCTTCCGTTGATTGTGCGCAGTTATTATCTTTCTCGACATTTAAAAAGTAACAAGATCAATCGACACTTGTGTTGACTTGTATCATGAAATAGAAAGCACCCATCGAGCGATTCACTTACTATTATTATTTATTTCCGTTATTTATTATTTACTCCGCATAATTAAATTAAATCGCATTTAATCGTGGTAAATTGAAATTATTTACGCAAGTTCATGCAAGGTCTTTTTCACGTCGGGAAATCGCTATCAGGAATGCAAAGCGTACTAAAAAGTGAATTTGAAGAGCGAATTTCTCAATTTGGTAATCGATTGTTCCACGAGAGTTTTAGTTTACCTTGAATTATACATATATATTTAGTATCAAATCTTATTTGGATCGTGAGAGTTTCAAACTAAATACCGATGGGAATAAGCCATTTACGGTTAAGCTGGATCTTGGATACTTCTAATAATAATTTTCGTGTGAATTTATATACATTACTACGTATGTAGATCCCTAAATCTATGAATGACATATTGAAAATCTGTAAATAATTTAATTTACATCGCGAAAAATATTATCTCGGCCGGGAGTCGAACTTGGATCGCTGCAAATTTCGATGCTTATAGCATCTTATTAGATCTTAATAATATGTTGAAAGACATATATTAAAATTTAATATTAAAGTAATGATAATTGAATCTGTGAAAATTAAGATTGCGAAGAATATCACAAGTTGGCGTTTCGTCCCGGCTTCTCCACTACTGGACTCATCGCAGTAAGGTAATGTAGTGGGAGCCTACCTTAGACGCCGGTGTAAGTTATTAAATCGATCTAATAAGATGCTATAAGCATCGAAATTTGTTAGATTGATTGTCAATCTAACTAAAGTGATATTACCGCGGTAATTATTTAGAGTTGCGTTGTAAGTCTGAAAAAATGTTTGGCATGCGATTGAGAGAACTACATACGCGATATATAAATTCACACATAATGATAATAAGCATCTTGATCTAGCTTTGACCGTGATAGACTTTGCATTGTGCTTCCTTCTTTCTTGTTATTGTTTAATATTAATGTTTTATTTGAACATAATTAATATGTATATATGTAAAAATAATTTTTTCGGTCTTCTTACTGCGCTGCATTTTAACATACATTATTTTATCTTAACAAAAACGATATTTACCTTAACAGTAGACATCAGTAGAAACTAACACACAACACAGGTTGGTAACCTTCTAAAATTGACGAGACTCAATAAAGCACATTATATAATCTATTGCATTAGATACTCCGTTCAAACTTATGTTAGAATGCAAAAAGAATGCTCATTCAACTGAGTTATAATCTTACAAGCGAATTCTCAGAATTATCTGCGTTTTCGTGTAAATGGTGTAAATAAAAGCAACTTATATTCTATTTTCTGTATTTCTATTTCACTGATAACCTAACTTAATTTAAGACATTGCGAATAGTGTTATCCGACACGGCGTCGCGCCGCGGCGCCTAGATAAACAACTTCAGTGATAAAGTAATTCCCGAGTAATGCCCCAAATCGGTACAAATATTTAATTGATAGTATATATGATATAATACAGTATTATGATATAATAATTAATACTAAACAGTTTTAACTTGAAAAAATTATAATAATGTTAATCAATGTTTAGCCAAATATAATTTTTAGTAATGTCCAGTAACGCCCACTAATGTTTAGTAATATCCACTACTGCTCGGTAATTCCTACCGATTCTCAAGTAATGTCCCAAATAATTCCCTCAGCGGTTTACCCCTCGTGCTAGAGTAATGATCGTGGTTTTATTTTAAAGGAAAAGTTTTAAATTTTTAAATGTGAGATTTTTCGGCCTGTTCGTACTTTCTCCGTGAAAAGTTGCAAATTCCTGAAATATTTTCAGTTTTTTAACACGACCTGCTTCTGGTCTTTGCGAAAAAGACGACAAATATCATATTAACTGTTTCAAAGTAGAAGTTTCACCCGTTCAAAAGCACCTAAAAAATTATCCTACGACCTCTGGAAGCGGAGATACGCTTTTTTATATATGTATATATTATATACTAAACTCGTTTTATTATAATAATACAAATTAAATATAAGTAACAAAGTTCAATAAAAATAAATATGATACAGAAGAAGGACTAATAAATTCGTTTAATTTAACAATGAATATACATATTATTTAACAAAACATAAAACAATTAAACAAACGTTTCGAGTCCGATCGGATTATTTTCAACGTTTAAATTATAACGAGATACATATTAGTGTGCTCGATTTTCTGTGTTTTTGTGTCCTTGGTTGACTACTTGTAATAGATTTCTTTGTTTTGATGATGAATGTAAAATTCTTATTTGTAAAATTATAATTTAATATAATATATTGTTTTTGTTCATTATCGCAGTAATATTTCATAGCTTGGTAAACGTTCAAAGTAAAAATATGAATTCTGTAAAATAACAAACATTATATTGTAATTCAGTGACACTTATAAATTAAATTGAATATATAAAAATAGATATTTTATTTTAAATCAATTTATGTTAAAATAAAACAAATATAATGTGTTCATTGTTAAATTAAACGAATTTATTAAGCTCGTAGTCCTTCTTCTTTATTATTATTCGTTTTATTATATAAGTTATATTTTATCACAGATATTATTAAATATTAGCAACATCAATCTAGCTTTTCCTCTTAACCTCTCTATATTTATTAATCTATATTTATTAATCTATTTATTTAATTTATTATTAAAAAAAATTGTTCATTTGACTGAATTAATTCAATTCATTTTTTTTTGTTGGAAAATTTTGTATTTAAATCAAATAATAATGCTTTAATATTTTTCAGCGAAAAAAAATAAAAGTAAATTAAATTAATTTAGTAAAATGAACAATTTTTTCTCAGTATAATACAAAAACGTAAAGATAATTTTATTGGACTACCAAAATAATTTTTTAGGACTCAAACTGGTTACAGAATATCAAAACTTTATGCAGCATTGCACATTATGATTCAGTTTTCACATAATTATTTTAATATAATAAAATAAATTAATAGAAGGCTCAACAAGTATAAAACAAATTGATTAAAAATAAGAGAAAAGAGGCAATAATTTTTTAAAAAAGATATATAAATGTAATTAACTCAAAATCGCAATACATTAAACAAACAGAGTAAAATTCGCAAGTAAGAATTCGCACATACGTTTCGACACCGATCGGGTCATTTTCAATGTTAAATTTAAAATTAAGTGTGTATAATAGAATTAACGAATCAACAATAATAAAATTACATGTGTATAATTATAATAAAATTAACGAGTCACAAATATAAAATTAAATGTGTATAATTGAATAATTAACAAATTTAAAAATGAATAAAGGGCATAAGAGTCAAAATAAAAAAATAATTTTTCTTATTTTTATTTCAAGTAGTACAGTCGATTTTTATAACTGTAAATTAGACTATTTTATTTATTTATTTAATTTCAATAATGGATCTAAACATACTGGATTTTTATACTGGACTATACATTTTTTATTACATTTCTGTTAAGATTTATATAACTCATGCGAAACTAATCACAAAGGAAGATCCATATTCAATTATACACATTTAATTTTATATTTGCGACTCGTTAATTATTCAATTATACACATTTAATTTTATATTTGTGACTCGTTAATTTTATTATAATTATACACATGTAATTTTATTATTGTTGATTCGTTAATGTATGCATACAAATTTTATTTATATTCAGAAGTTTTAATATACTTGATAATTTAAATTGTAAGTTGCGTTGACTCTCAGATTTGCCCTTGTTATCATCCTCTATTGTTTTAACATCGAGAGATTTGTTTATATTCTAATTTCGTTAATTCTATTATACACACTTAATTTTAAATTTAACATTGAAAATGACCCGATCGGTGTCGAAACGTATGTGCGAATTCTTACTTGCGAATTTTACTCTGTTTAATATCTTGCGATTTTGAGTTAATTACATTTATATATCTTTTTTAAAAAATTATTGGCCCTTTTCTCTTATTTTTAATCAATTTGAATTATTTTAATGTTTCTAATAAAATTATTTTCAGATCTCAATTTTTAGTTACCTTAACAAAATCACTCTGTTATTCTTTTTTCTTTCTTCACATTTTCATTCTTTTTTCCAAGTAACACAAAAATAACAATTTTTAACTGTATCGTCGTAATAAATGAGCAATATCTTAAAGTCATGTAGATGCGTCCAAGTGATGACACCGAAATTCGAAACTTCTAAACGACGAAAACATCAAATTTTACGAGAATAACAGAATAAAGACCTTACACGCGAAAATTTCAACAAGTTCGCAACATCTCATATATTACATATCGAGAACTAATAAATCGAAATATCAAAATAAAATACATATATGACTAAAATGTGAACTAAGGAGGGAAAGACGACAATTTTCAGAGGTTAGAGTCCCGAAGTACGGCGATCGGACATTTAAGTTTCGTCGCGCCGACTTTCTCGCGATCGACCGGGCGAACTGTTTTACACGAGCAGATCGCTCGGCCGGCACGTATGTCGATCGCGAAACCGTTTGTATATGCATAAATGTACAAAACATTCGAGCAAACCAAAGCAACGATATCTGACAGGTGAGAGGGGTGAGGAGAGGAGAAACACGGCGCGGTGGCGACGCGGCAGCAAGTATGTCGCGTGGATAAATAATCGTACAAAATCGAAGAAGTGCGCGCGATCGATCGATCGGCTTAGTTCTCGACCGGCCGCGCCTTGTCTCGCCGGTATCACGAGGAGGGCAACGATATACACGTTGTGCAATATAAGTACGCACGTACCTCTTCGAAGATGCTGCCGACGTTCGCGGTGATGAGGAGGACTGGGACAGCGTTGCCCGCCATTCTCGTGGTTGGATTTGTTGGTAAGCTGATTTTTTGGAGCTTTGGTCTCCGAGTTTATTGATCCTCGAGGGCGCGGGATCGTTCGCACCACGACGGCTGTCGGTTGGACGATGACGATTCCGTTGCCGCGGAGTCACAACTTGTCTACACTCTCGCGAACCAAACTGAACCGCACTACACTGATGACGACGGCGGCGACAGTGACGACAACGGACAAGCAGCAGCAGCAGCGCACACGTCGCTCGCACGCACTCGTACACTACTAACGGAACAGACGTCGCTCTATCGGTTGGTCGTTCCTATCTTGCTCTATCTATCTGTCTCTCCCGCTACGTCGCTCTCCTCCTCACCGGCCCTCTTCCGTTCCGATCTCTTCTGTTGTCGCACCTTTCAGGAAAAGCGCTGCGTTAAGAGATAAACGCACAGATATCGCGACAAGGACGAAGAGCAAAGTCATCCCCCGCGCCGCGAGAAAGCCGCTCTCGCGATCTCGGCATTACCGTGTCGCGAGTATATGCGCATCGTCGTCGAGTGCGGGGTAGGAGAAGAAAGAATATATACAAACGCGCGGAGAGACCTCCGTTGTTCCTTCCTTGCGAGTTGTGTTACGTTGTGTTTCGCGTACATATGTCGTACGGCGGTTGCGTTGGCGCACGAGAGAGAAAAGTCGTGCGCGCGGTAAATATATCTCTCTACTATCGGTTACGCCACGCCTCCCGCGAACGTCAATAGACAGTGCCGTGTCTACCACACGCGTGTTGCTGGCGAACGTACGTGAACATGCGTGGTGTGGCGCACCGCGGTGAGCTGATCTTAGATAGAGATCCTAGGCCTATTCTTTATTTATTTTTCCATATCCCAAGAGAGGTCGATCTTGAAATGATACGATAATGGCAAAAATGAGCGGATTTATTACAATATTTCATTGGTCAACACGCCGTAAACGATATTAAGTGAAAATCGACCGATGAGATTTAGCACACATGAATGAAAAATAATCTAGTGTATTTACTCACTTTTGTAATCTTCACCCCTAAAGATTCGATTGTGCATCTTGAAATAAGATTAAAATTATAAGAGCAAATTCATTTAGTGACCAATTAAATTATAAATATTCTAGTGAATTTATTCACTTTGTAATTTTTTACCTCGTATAAAAATACAGACTTAACCTGCTGGACTGAGATTCTTATATACGGTTCTTTATCTTTTTTCTCTTCGATATAAAAAAAAGAAAGAAGGAAGATCAACTGCGTAAGAAATTCAGTCCTGGGAATCAATCATGGAAACATATAACTTTTTCTCTAGAAAAATATGTATATATCGTTCGTCGCGCGACGTACGTCGTCGTTGATCTAGCCTATCGTTGTTTCGCACGCGCGTCCAAAACCATACGCCGCGGCTTTATGCGTGAACAAGGCGTGTAATAAGCGGGGAGCACAGACTTTTGCATAACGCATAAACCATATACATAAAGAATTTGATTGGTCCATTGACTCATGCATAAGAAAATGGACCAATGAAATTCCTTATGCACATGCTTTATGCAAAAGTCTGTGCTCCCCGCTTAAGTCTATCATATGCAGGCGTTGCGGTTTTTGTTTTTCTATGCATTGCATTGACTCGACCGGTGGTGTCTACCTATACATTGCAATAGACGTTCCCGGTGGGCACGTAACTTCGGCATGTGCATGTACATGCTGTCGGTGCGTGCGTGCGTAGTACAACAGCGACGCACGCGCGACGGAACCGACCGACCGACGGTGACGTCGACGACGAGGTGATGTCGAGAAGTAGCGTCGGTGGATTTTCCTGAAACGAATCGCGTCAGATCAAGTGCATCGTGCGTAAAACGAATCTTCACCGATACTAAATTCTCTCTTGTCGTGGATAAATTCCTTCGCACAATCGACATAAGTGTCTGGTCTTGGACCATCCCGCGTAATAATCGATACCGCGTTGTTCGATTTCCGTGACCCCACTGGGAAATTGAGGTAGCACGTTTAGAGTCATCAGCCGCGTATTTTTATAAAAGTACATGTACTCTTTTTAAGATCGTCAAACTTCTGAACATTAGTTAAAATTTTATATTTATAAAATTATACTAGTAAGAATTATTAATAAAGTATGTTCTAAAAATTTTATTTTATTCAACCTATACATTTAACGTATAAAAACATAATATTCCTTTCTTCCACCTCCAGATCATCTTTTTTTAAAAAGTGTATACATGTACTCTTTTTTTATGATTTAAATATGATAACTAAGCATGCCAAAAATATCAAGCCATCATCTCCAGATCATCTTTTTTTAAAAAGTGTATACATGTACTCTTTTTTTATGATTTAAATATGATAACTAAGCATGCCAAAAATATCAAGCCGCATTCGCTCAAGGCTCTTTCTTGGATTTATTGCTCTGCAGTCTACATGCATATCCCTATTTCTGATTTCGTAAAGATATGTGTTTGATTTCATAACTAAATATATTGTGCATTAATTGAAAATCTTACTGCAACAATGAACAATGGATTAACCTCTAACGTAACCAAATTTAATTTCTTATAATATTCTTCATTCATGACCTACAATTTGTAAAATCTTCGGACATTTACCAAATACGAAAGTTTTCTTAGCAATGTAAAAATAAATATATTTTTCTATCACATTAATTTTAGAGTTTATTTTCTCCGTTTTTACAAAATATTTATTTTTACCTATTATTGCTGGAAGGTCTTCAATTATTACAAGAGAAGATAAATTTTCAAAAACACCTCTCTCTCTCTCTCTCTCTCTCTCTCTCTCTCTCTCTCTCTCTCTCTCTCAGTACTCTTAATTTAGAATATCATGTATATTTTTTCATATCCCTTTATAGTAATGTGCAGAGATTAAAAACCTAAGATTTTAATAAATTACCATACGAGTTTTAATATCGTATTCGAAATTTTATATCCAATACTATTGCCGAAACGTTCGGAATAGATCATTGGATTACGAATTAAATTTAATAAGTATTGTTAAATTACAACTAATAACATTATAACTCTATATGCCTTTATACCAATGTACAAGTTTAAATACATAGGTTATTTTATTTTTTGATGTTTAATTGCGAGAGTCGTTAACTCGATATTATTTCAATATTTAAAGTTTTTTAAACTATTACTAATAGCAAAATATGCTTCTTCGTCTAAATTCAGATTTGAATAAAAGCTTGCTTCACACACATAATAATATGTAAATAAAATTCATATTTCTTTAAAATAAAAGCTTTAAACACCAAAGATCTATTTTATTTTATATACAAATTTCAATCTTTCTAAATTTATGTTTATACATTAAAATAAAAATTTAGTTTTTATAAAATCATCCATGATCTCGTAACTTTTTTCCTGGTAAAGTTTTCAAATTTATATTCTATTTTTGGTGGTATGAGTAAGAATTTATTGACTTTGTGAGTACAACAAACTGAGCAATAATAAGCTACAAAAATAAATGTAAATAAAACAGAGATATTTGACCTAATTTTTAATCAAGATTGTTGAATTCATTACAGAAACTGCAGTTTGCACCGTGGAGAATAAAAATCTTCGGTGTGACTAATACTAATGCTGCTTCCCTGAAAAAACTATCGGGAACAATTGATACAGAGGGAAGTTCTGATCGGGAACAACACATTCTTTTCTCACGTGTATTCCACGTGTCACAGAATGTAATAATAACAAAATTGGAGATTGCATCGCGATTTTTACACTAGTGCTATACGTGCTATAGTGAGTCACGCAACGTATATATGGTGTTGATACTGACAAACAGATAAAAGTTCTGCTGAAAATCTCAATCAACAAAGACGCACTAATCACAATTTTATCGTAAGTAGAAATCTCCTCCTCTTCTGTGTAGCATGCATCGATTCTAAGAAAGTCAACAGCGTTTTCGTTATTTTGAAAAAATCACATTTTATGAAAATTTTTAAGTATATATAAAGAACGTACACGCTGAATATTTTCAATCCGATATTGATATCTGTATTTTAATTTAGGATTAAATTCAAATTTAAATTCTCCGAATATAAAATGAAAGAGATAGTAAAACTTACATTATTATAGTTAAATAAAAAATACGTAGGTATATATTCCAGTGAAAAGTTGTTTTGACAGAATAATTAAAATTATTATTATTCCTTTATTCTTATTTTAAAAGAGTATCACTTATATAATATATTAAATATGTATGTACGTACATATGTATACGTAATCTATCCTTTTAAAAATGATACGACAAAAAAATGAAATTTTTGAGTTATTACCATGATGTAAGAATACAAGGTGTATCATTGCGCATAATGGCGGTAGCCTTGTGGGGCAGCCAATCAAAGATTCACCACAAAAGATTGGGCAGCCAATCAAAGATTGACCATTGCTTTTTAGTATTTGTGGTCAACATCTGATTAGTCTAAAGAGCGGCCATTATTTTGGACGAGTGCGCATCCACGGGAATGATACACCTTGTATTCTTACATCAAGACCATGAATAAATTAAATAAATAGATATTATCTTATTACTAATAGAAAATTAACAAATTTTACTTTACACACAATATCATCAAATTCGTTACAATTAAAAAGGATTTTTTTAAATTGTTAAAATCGTCATAACTAAAAGAGTGTTTCTTTTTAAAGGTTGTGTTTTTATATTATGTATTTAAATATATATAATAAATAGATTTTTTGGTTAATATTATTTAATTAATTAATAAGTTTTTTCAAACTGAAAAATAATTTTTTTTTTCTAGGAAACATTTCTTTTATCACTTTAGAAAAAAGCGATATAATAAATTTTGACAAACTTTCTCTAAATGTGATATCAAATTTTGTGAAACATTTTGTTGATTCTTTAAAACTCGATTCATATTGTTTTATATAAACACAGAAGCGATTACAAATTTGATGACCATTGGATGATTCATTGGCATACTTATCCTGTCTCATGAAAACTAAACTTACATGCTTCCGAAATTCGATCGTTCGGATCAAAAACACTAGAGGCTTTTATCGTTTATATGTACTTTTTTGATACTTTCCAGCATGATCATGCATCCGATCATAATATTACTGTCGACATTGGTGGCTTTCGTCATTGCAGAGAGCATTCTAATGACAGAGGTCTTTGTTATTCCCATCAGACCCGAGACTTTTGACTGGAGTACAGATGGTAAAATATATTTAATTTAATTTCAAATTGAATAAGACAATGTCTACAACGGTCTAAGTTGGATCACGGGTGCTTCTAAATAATTGTGTGTGAATTTATATACTACGTATGTATTAGGTCAATCGGAATGTTCCGTCCGTTTTTTTGCAAAAAGTATGATTTTATTTAAGAAACAAAATGAAAAAGTACATCAATCAAAATATTGTCCATCGTTAGACACGACTTTCCCATCTTTCGAACAGCGAGCGAATTTCGCGGCGAAAGAATGACTCATCCTTGGAGACTATTCAGTCAGAGACCCATTTTTCGACGTCTTCATAAGTATTGAAGCGTTTTTCAGCAAGTGCGTATGCCATCGACCGAAACAAATGGTAGTCGGAAAAGTCTGGTGAATAAGGGTACATTTCGAAATTTACTGGCACTACTGATAGCACTGTTTTATCGTTCCAAAATAGAATTTCTTGTGCTGTCAGTTACTGAAAGTTACTATCTATTCTACATAAATTGATCCTAGGGGATTACTGACTTCCGGTTGTTTTTACTCCATATCAAGAGGTGAGGTACAGGTAGTAAAAGCAATACAGAGCGCGAAATCGATATGAGTGCAAAACTTACTGATAGAGAGAGAGAGAGAGAGAGAGAGAGAGAGAGAGAGAGAGAGAGAGCGCGCACTCTCCCGCCCTTTCGATTTCTTCTAAAAATACTGAGTGCAAAGATACAAATAACTTTCTTATTTCTTTACTGGTTTTCCGTTCCGAAATTCAATACAAGACAGTAAAAACTTAAATTTCGGAACAATAAAAGTCAGTCATTTCAGTAACAGCAGCGGCGCCAGTACTTCCAACTAATTTCGAAATGTACTCTAAGCCGCATGGGTAGCACTTCCCAGCGAAGTGCTTCCAATGTTTTATTAACAGCCTTATTAATAACAGTTTTATTAATGACGTGAGGTCAAGTGTTGTAATAAAGCAAAATCAGGAGACGCGGTAGTTTCCGGCCATGTTTAAAAAACTACTAGTTAATTTAAAAGTTAGTTTAATCATAAAAGGTTAATAATAGATACTACAAGTCTCTTATCCCGAGCCACCAAAGTCCATTTTGGGGGGGGGGGGGGGGGGTGCATAACTACTAAAATATAAATAATTTTGAATCGAACGTTATATGTCCTGAAAGGCGGCATCGCCACGAGTAATTTAAGTAAAAAAATTTAAAACGATCAAGCCGTTCTGGAGATACAAGCGGTCGAAAAGTGATGATTTTAATGAAAAATTAAGAAATGTCTCCTTCTCTATATGTCTGTCTGTCCACCACACACTGTCAATCACCACTTTTCGACCGCTTGTATCTCTAGAACGGCTTGACCGATTAAAAATTTTTTTGGCTCAAATTATTCGTGACGATACCGCCTTTCAGGACATATAACGTTTGATTCAAAATTGTTTATATTTTAATTGTTATGCACCCCCTAAGAATGGACTTTGGTGGCTCAGGATAAGAGACTTGTAGTGTCTTTCAGTTTTTGAACATGACCGGAGACACTACCGCGTTTCCTGTGATATATATATATATATATATATATATATATATATATATATATATATATATATATATATATATATACATATTTCTATGCATTTATTATTATGTATTTTTTTGTATTTCTTATAAATAATTGTTCTGTTAATTTCTACAATGGATATTTATATTGTATCGTTTTATTTCAGGATATTCGGATCAATTTTCGTATCAACCGTCCTTGCTGAATGCCCCCGATCTCCCGTCATGGATACATTACACCTACAGCAAGAAGGATCATCACGGTTTTTTATATGGCGTCGCACCCAAAGATCAAAAGTATTTTCAGGTGATACACAATCACCGTACAATATCAGTTTGTAATTGACAATACTTAACTGAGATAATTTTAGCTAGAGATCGTGGGGTTGAACAAGCATACCTACGAAACTCGTTACAAAGTACTCGATATGAACGTACTTGAGAGAGAAAATCTGACAAAGTACGAAGTGCACCTGAAAATCGATAATCTCAACGTCGAGGACATGTTCATCCAAAATCGTACTCAAAAGCTCCTCGATATATTCAGGTTGGTTATGTAAATTTCTTATAATTTCCAATCTCATAGTTACAACGTTTTTATCGATATACGTCAGTCTGCCTGTCATTTCCTTTCAAAGCGTATAAATACAGAAGAATTAGTAACACATATATAAAAGGTTTCTCAAAAACCAAATTAAATTCTATTCATAAAGTAGAAAAAGATAGAGAATTGATCATAACCATCTGCTTTCAAATTAAGAAATTTATATAAATAGTAGAATCAATCAGTTTTGTTTCCTAGAAACCACGAAGTAAGAGAGAAGGAGACCGAACTTAATGCCGGTTCTACATTAGTTGCAAGTCGATCGCAAGTTTGTTGCGACAGCCAATCTGAAGCGTTGATTTCAAAATGCAAGCTTGAGATTGGCTGTCGCAACGAACTTGCGATCGGCTTGCAACTAATGTAGAACCGGTTTAATAGAACGCAAGCTGAAAAAGTGGTCCTGATTCGTGACCCCTAATTGGGAGGGAGTCCGCTGAAAGGAACGGATTCTTATGGTTGGGCACCATTTGCAATTAACCTTACCCGAACAGTCCGGCCTGGCTTGCATTCACGAAGTAACAGCGTGCTTGTATTATACGGACTAAGAGTTCCAAAAAATTAAAAAAGGTAAAGATTTATAAGAATTAATAGTGAATTCGATCACTTGCACTACGCTAGATTAGTACGTACTAAAAGCTACTGTGCACGAAATTAGCAGAGATAAAGCATATAAATAATTTAAACGATTAAATATTCAATAATATAATATAATATTCATTTTAATATTAAATATTCAATATTTCACCTTTTTTAATGTTTTGGAACTCTTAACCTCTCCCACGATCTCTTAAGGCCCGTCTACATAAGTCGCAAAACACAGAACGCAGTTCGAAAGACTAGAAACTAACCTAACATAATAGGTTGTAGGACGCAGAACGCAGGATGCAAAAGTTGAAATTCACCCAACTTCCTGCGTCCTGTGTTCTGCGTCCTACAACCTATTATAACTAAAATATGTTAGGTTAGTTTCTAATCTTGCGAACTGCGTTCTGCGTGTTGCGACTTATGTAGACGGGCCTTTACTTCGTGACCTCTCCGTATAATGCAAGCAATGGATCAGGCCGGACTGTTCGGGTAAGGTTAGTTGCAAATGGCGCCCAACCATAAGAATCCATTCCTTTCAGCGGACTCCCTTCCAATTAGGGGTCACGGACTAGGACCATTTACGTTTCACAGAGTTCGATCTCCTTCTCTCTTACTTCATGCTAGAAACTATATCGCTAATTAATGTAATTAGATAATAAATAATGTCAACAATAAACGCATTCAACAAAATTTTAACTGTAGAAAGAAACTGTGGAAAGGCGCTGCGGACTTGTACGTCACTTTTTTGGCGTCTGCGATTGAGCTCGGAGCTCGTTTACCTCTAAAGCCAAGCGAAGGTGAAGGGTGAGTCATATTTCTAAATTATCTTCTAGCTAATTCAATTTAATCCTTATTGTTAAACCCGAGGAGATCGAAAATTGCTGTAAAACTTAGAATAGCTAAGACTTCAACTATGACTTTTATCTATTTCGATCTATAGACCGTTTTGAGCGTTTTTTTTAACTGTCAAATACAAACAAATGATATTCTCAAACAATAGCTGGGGTGCGTTTCGTATACCGGAGTGTTTATCCAGACGAAGTATGATGTCACATACCGAGATTGATTCGCGAAACGGAACGATTCTGGAATGTTTTTGCGGTAAATGTGTCGATGAGGGGACCCCCCTCCAATGACTTTGACCTTGACATATGTTATCAAGGTCATGATTCTGAGTAACTTTGCCTTAACAACTAGTCGTCGCTCGCCCTTCGTTAAAAAGTTATTAACAATTATAGTTTTAAAATAGTAAATGTCTCAATCAGGCGACCTCCCTCCAATGACTTTGACCTTGACATATGTTGTCAAAGTCATGACCCTGAGTAACCCTCAACAGGTTTTAGCTGTCGCTCGTCCTTCGTTAAAAAGTTATTAACAATCATAGTTGTAACGTATGCTATACATGTATGATATGCGAAGTACTATTCTACATCTTTCCCTGTTCAGAAACGTTGAATTTTCCAAGCGAAGTAACTTTCCCCCCCCTCCCCCCCCCCACACAGGGGCACACGACTTCTACGATTATACTATTGCTGTGATTGTACTATTGGGGCAGACCTCTGTCGTGTGCGTGCGTGCGTGCGTGCGTGTGTGTGTTCCATTCGTTATATAACGATTATGAGTCTATTACTTGATATTTTACACACACACACACACACACAC